ATACATAATTCTATTGTTACGTTTTAATTTTAATTGAATAGTGACCTCATGTTTTTTTTCCTCAAAATTCCCGAGTCTCCTTGTCGTTGACCTGACAAAACCAACATGTAAACAACATGTTTTGCAGACGAAATGCTATCCATACGGCACTGGGTTCCCGATCGTGGCACAATTCAATCGTTATGTTTACATTTATTTGAACCTCAATCCTCATTGTTTTTTTTTATTATTTATCATTTTTTCCCACTAGGAATGTTGTGCAGTTAATGCTCAAAGCACAACATGATTGCAAAGAGTGGATCTTCTTTATGGAACAAAGTCTTGTATGTTTGTTTTTGTGAGAGTGAATCCTGGAAAATATGCAAATTAGTATGCAAATTAGCATGCAAATTAGACCGCCATGCTTGCCTCTGAGCCTGGGGAGAACACTGTTATGCACTGTATTTAACTTTTAACAAAACGATAATACATTTAAATTTGAAACTGTAACAGCCATTTTAATTACGAGCGTTAGCAAAATTCTTACTGAGTGAATTGTTATGCAAATTATCTCAGCTTCTTTTTAGTGAACATTCCAGAACTTTAATGTGTTTATCTTCAAAACGCTGTCGGGGCATTGTTTTTGGTTGATCAGTGTTACAACAATCGTACAGCCTGGGTGTTAATTTATGCATAAACTTGAAGTAGTGAAATTTGACAACTGGTAGACAGTTTTCAAGACGGCGCTTTCTTCATAGTAAACAGATGTACCCATAAACCAATTTTGACAGGAAACAGAAGCATGGTTTAGAAGCTAATTTTTTTTAAATCACTTTTGACCAAAAAAGCACATTTTTGTGCATATTTCAAACTACAGTGTCCATAAAAATAAAATACTAACAAAACTTTAAAATTCATACAATAAGCTTTCCGAAAATATATAGTTTTGTGGACAAGGGAGGTCATCTTCGTTTCCTAATTAACTAATTAACATACCTGTCAGGTAAACTGCATCTCTACCTTAAGTTTAAGAATGCTTATTAGCTTTTTATAACATAATATTTATAATATAATAAATTCTGTAAACTGATATGTTTTCTCTGCTTTAAATTTTTGTTGATCTACTTCTAGGCATTCATACGAATAGATCTAGCAAGTCAATATTTTTATTCAAAATTCAATTGCTATGTAAAACTTGAAAGATGTAAAAATAGAAAGATTTTCAGACAGTTTTTGTCTAATATTCTGACACCATACTTCATTTCCTACAATAGAATGTATTTGAACATAACTGATAAAATGTGCTTATCCTCAGGGGCGGAGCTATGTCACAAGACATTCCATGTTGCTAAGACGCGCACCACTGTACCATTCTATGGGCTGTGTGCGAGCTGCTGTGGAACGCAAGTCTAGCCGGTGAAAATATCTAAATTTAAGAAAACACAAACTAAACCTAGAAGTAATCCTGAACAACCAAATGTATATATGCACACGCAGGGGTAATCTTGTCACACTGTTCAAGGGAGTTTCAACAACCATCCCAAAATACTGTTTTCTGAGAGTTTTTGGCCTTTGTTTTCACCACGATGGTTGTTGCCAGACCGTGAAAATGCCCGGATGTCTGCTCCCGAGAATAGTGAAGTGCGCCCTCTTGTGGGAATAGAATGTGACAATTTCATTTACATACCAGTAGGTAGTTTTGATTATCAGCACCGATTCTTCCAATTTCTTTTTTAAAGATTCTGCCGACATTCCTTTGCCTGCATCAAGAATTTCCGGTGGGAAAGCTAGATGATGTAACGAATACGGAATTATCATAAAATGTTATTACTGGAAAAATGACATGGATACAGAGCTTTTCTTTACCAGCACACTCCATCATGAGCCAATTCTCGATCAAAAGTTTATGTATCCATGGTAACACATAACATACATTGCTTTCACGGCTATTTTGAATATAGGACCTGTTTTCACAAATCACAACTGAATAAATATAGTAAAAATAGTTAATATTTAAAAAAGATTGTACATATTCTATCAATAAATGTGGCTTCAAGGTGGTCAATGTCTTGAGTTGAAAGTAAAATTAATTTTACACAACATATCAAGAATGTATGTGCAAAAGTGATATGTAAATACAGGTTGATTTCAATGTAATTCGAGATTGACTTACACTGTCCTGGCGGTGTAAGTGCTACAGCACGTCCTAAAGCCGCTAACACAGATTGTTCTGCCAAACCAATACGTAGTTTACCAGTTAACGACCTAAAATAAGAAACAAATAAATACTTTATCAAATACCAACAAAGTTTTCTTTCATCATTGCTTTGTAGGAAATAATTAATCATCATGATGCATTATGGGAGATAATTTAACAAATCACAATGCATTATGGGAGATAAGTTAGCAAATCACAATGCATTATGGGAGATAATTTAGTAAATCACAATACATTATAGGTGATAATTTAGCAAATCACAATGCATTATGGGAGATAATTTAGTAAATCACAATGCATTATGGGAGATAATTTAGCAAATCACAATGCATTATGGGAGATAATTTACTAAATCACAATGCATTGTGGGAGATAATTTAGCAAATCACAATGCATTATAGGAGATAATTTAATAAATCACAATGCATTATAGGTGATAATTTAGCAAATCACAATGCATTATGGGAGATAATTTAGTAAATCACAATGCATTATGGGAGATAATTTAGCAAATCACAATGCATTATGGGAGATAATTTAGCAAATCACAATGCATTATGGGAGATAATTTAGTAAATCACACACAATGCATTATAGGTGATAAGTTAGCAAATATTGCATTATGGGAGATAATTTAGCAAATCACAATGCATTATGGAAGATACGTTAGCAAATCACACACAATGCATTATGGGAGATAAGTTAGCAAATCACAATGCATTATGGGAGATAATTTAGCAAATTACAATGCATTATGCGAGATAATTTAGCAAATCACAATGCATCATGAGAAGTTAGAAAATCACAATGCATTATGGGAGAGAAGTTAGCAAATCACAATGCATTATGGGAGATAATTTAGAAAATCACAATGCATTATGGAAGATAAGTTAGCAAATCACACACAATGCATTATGGGAGATAAGTTAGCAAATCACAATGCATTATGGGAGATAATTTAGCAAATTACAATGCATTATGCGAGATAATTTAGCAAATCACAATGCATCATGAGAGAAGTTAGAAAATCACAATGCATTATGGGAAAGAAGTTAGAAAATCACAATGCATTATGGGAAAGAAGTTAGCAAATCACAATGCATCATGAGAGAAGTTAGAAAATCACAA